AGTGTATAAACGACTGTGTCAAGAACTACTTTTTAGTATTATGTATAGTAATGTAAATATATGGTTGTGTTGGGGTAAGGATTCTTCTGCAGTAGGTGTCTGTTTTACTGCTGGAGCCAGACTAACAAGGTGAATGGCTGTGTTTCATTTCACTAACTTTTAATCATCAACTGGCATCTGTTAGAATAGGCTGACATTCCATCTGTAAAGTAACTTTAAATGTGGGGAGATTTCAAGGTCTCGGTTCATCTGGAATAAAGGTGTGTGGTTTGATTAACCCTACCGAGAAAGGTCTTCCTATTGTCATGGAGGAAAGGCCATGTCGTCATGCTTGTAGATTTACATTCAGTATTATTGAACTACTATTTTATGAATGTACATCAATGAGTTTGGTATGAAGTTGTAGATTATAATTCAAATTATGATATTATACATTTGTTAATTTCTTCATTTAAAATAAAAACCTAATTATTGATTTTTGTGTTACGATGAATGCAGCACTGGTTCAGATTAGATGTTTATAATGTCCAAATACAAAAACACACCTATTCTTTTAGTTTGTTGACTTACACTATAAAAGCAGATCCCCATATTTGTTTTGGCATGCACATTTAAATGGGTTATGTGTACACAAATGCACAGATAATCTGTCTTGGTTTAAAAACAAATTAAATAAAAACATAGCTGGTTATGTGTACACAAACCCACAGATAATATGTCTTGGTTTAAAAACAAATTAAATAAAAACATAGCTGGTTATGTGTACACAAACCCACAGATAATATGTCTTGGTTTAAAGACAAGTTAAATAAAAACATAGCTGGTTATGTGTACATAAACCCACAGATAATATGTCTTGGTTTAAAGACAAATTAAATAACAAACATAGCTGGTTATGTGTACATAAACCCACAGATAATCTGTCTTGGTTTAAAGACAAATTAAATAAATACATAGCTTGATTCATAGTTTTTATTTTGTGCTGTTTCAGGCCATACCTTATAGATGTTTGAGCTTCAATTGAATAGCAATATCATTAATGTTTCATCATCCATTAGTTGAATCTACTTCACACAAGGGCCTTATGATCCATACAGTGTATCTCATTGCCATATTGTTAAGTAGGTGCATGTGTTTTCAAACACCACTGTTGTTACACGTTAGTCTGAGGAAAAAAATACATTTTTAAAATGACTTACTCAGCTACGTGTCGACGTGTACGAGATACCTCTGCCCTGTAAGACTGTGCGATACAAAACACATCACCTAATGATGGAATGACAGTTTCCAGGTAAAGCTGCGACGACTGTGTCAGATAAGCCTGAAAAATATGAGGAAAGTATTTACCTAGGCTTAATCTGAAAATACAAAAATTTGGTTAAAACAGGCATTGATGGACATTTGACAAACAAACTGAACACAAGTTTGGTCAACATTTTGACCATACAATCTTCATCCTAATTAGATTTTAAAAGAACACATCCCAATGACGAGCATTTGACAAACAAACTGAACACGAGTGTGGTCAACATTTTGCCCATACAATCTTCATCCTAATTAGA